CAAACATCTTTGATACTCTTAACCAAATCAATCTCTCTCTTTGTCTTTCTCATTTATGTTCTATTAACCCATTTTTGGATGGACATCATCAATATTCAGTGATAAGAAGAGATGATGATTTAGGAAAAATGGGTAAAAAAGGATAACCAGATCAATAAATAAACTTGTTTTATTTATTTATTTATAGGTCTCTCGAAGATAAATATTCATACCTTTTTTTAACTGTTCCACAAAACCTATAAAAATTAGGAAAGCCTTGCAACCTTGCATATTCTCGGATGGTGAGGACCCGGTCCTATTCTGGATCTAATGCTGCCTAAAACAATACTGATAACCTTGATATTTTTCCATTTAATTTAATCAAATAAAAAACACTAGCTAGAAAGGTACCTGATTGCGAAGATTATGAAAATTAACTACTCCTAGATTTCCCTTGTTCAAAAGTGAGGACACAATATGGTACCTATAAGTAAACAAAGCATAATTTCGAAACTAACATGTATATATGAATAAAGATCAAAACTATCTATATTACAGTTCAGAACCCTACTAGATTTAGCCTGTGGCGATGCCAAACCCATTCATAATCAAGAGGAATAAGCAAAGGTCCTCACACAAAACCCTTTGTTTCATAAACATTGTGTGATTTATTAGGGTGCCGTTTGGTAACACTTACGTTTTCAGTTTTCTGTTTATATTTATAAAAATTTAAAAAACTCAAATAAAAACTTGTTTGGTAAAATTTTTGATTTATAAATCAGTGGTCTCAGTTTATAAATTTGGCCAAAAAATGAAAACACAAAAAATGTGTTTCCGTTTTGAGTTTTTTGCCACCACCACTTACCACCCACCTGCCACCACTAACCACCTACCACCAGCACCCACCTGCTACCCACCCGCCACTAGCACCCACCCGCCACCCACTTGCCACCACCACTACCACCACCACCCACTTGCTACTACCTACCACCCGCCACCGTCACCCACTACCACCACCACCACCCGCCACCTGCCACCACTACCCACCATCCGCCGCCACCACCACCACCCACTTGCTACCACTCGCCACCATCACCCACCCACCCACCATCACCACCCATCACCCATCCGTCACCACCCACCACCATCCGCCACCCACCTATCACCACCACCCACCACCCACCACCCACTCGCTACCACCTGCCACTGTCACCCACCCATCTACCATCACCACCCACCCACCTACCCGCCACCACCCACTCACCCACCACCACCCACCATTCGCCACCCACCTGTCACCACCTGCCGCCGCCACCACCACCACCCACTCGCTACCACCCACCACCCGTCATTGTCATCCATCCACCCATCATCACCACCCACCATCCATCCGCCACCACCAAGCACCACCTGCCATCTGCCACCCACCTACCCGCCAGCACCCGTCATCCGCCACCCACCCGTCACCACCACCCACCACCCGCCACCACTTTCCACTACCGTCTTCTGCCGCCACTTGCCACCTCTTGTCATTTCTCACTCTTTTTTAAATTTTTTTAAACATTTTTTCAGTTACCAAACGCATTTGTAGTTTATGTTTTTCTAAAAATAAACAAAAAATAAACAAAAACCAGTTTATAAAATTTTGTAAATATAAACTGAAAACGTAAACGTTACCAAACACACCCTAGGTAAACTGTATATTTTTTTTAAACCACAGAGGAGGTGAGTGTAATTTACTCAAGAAAGAAATAAACTGAAGATTTGATTGCCACAAACCTCAAGCTGCCAATTAGTGTAATTAAAACCATGAAGTCACATGACATGGTTTTTTTCTATGTTCTTTGGACCGTAATGTCTACAACTAAAATTTTGTTGTCTTGAAATTTGTACTTACACTTGGTAGCATATTTTCTTGTACTTGCATGCATCAGTTGAAATCAAGTAGGTTGGTGACTCTGTTTGGTGCTGTTTACCATGACCTCTATTTTCTTTTGTTTATTTTTTAAATTTGACTTTTTTGGGTGCTTGCTTCATTTGAAGGCATAATAGTTTGGTCTTTATTGATTTATTTAAGAGAGCAATATATTTCTTGAGTCTACCATAATCTATCAAGAGTATTGTAGAAAATGAATGGAAAATGTTTATAGCGTTTCTAGCTTAAACCTAGCCCATTGTATGTTTTGAATTCGGGTTTCGTTGTCTTTTATAGTTATTCATGTTTTATTTCCCCTTATACCTCTTTGAGTTTGGCTATTGGGTTGTGTTGGTTACGTTTGAAACAGTTTGGTAACTTGTTTTTCAAACTTTTGTTGCCCAGATTTTTGTCCCTCACTCGAGCGAAGCTTCTTACGCTCGAGCTGTCTTTGTGAGCATCCAGTATTTTTGCAAGTTTGCAAAAAAATACTGAGAGTTTGCATTTTTCACTTGAGCGAAACTTCTTGGGCATGAGTGACAACCTCTGCCTACAAAACTATTCGGAGTTTGTATTCTACGCTCGAATGAATCTTCCTGTGCTTAAGCGGTAAAACTTATTGTGTCTGGTCGCTCAAGTGACACACCTTGCGCTCGAGCGAACTGTGCATATATCAATTTGTAAACAGCCCATTTTAAGTCACTTTTTCATCTCACTCTCTCTCTCTAAAACTCATCTATTCCCCTCAAATACACCATCATCTATTGATCTCTACACCTTAGTCCCTTTGTTAAAAAGGTGAAGCTCACCTAGAGCATTCATTTGATCGGAGCAAAGTCCATTTTTGACTTGATTGAAGTTTCAACCTTGCTCTTGGTTGTCTTCTAACTTGAGGTAGGGATACTTTCCATACTTTTTATGAGTTTTAACTTAGTTATTTGTCATTTCTAAACCATATTGTGCATTTGAAAGATTTAGAACAAATCTAGACTTTTGAATAAAAATCAAAAGAGGGGTTTTTCAAACAGGTTCTTGGAAATGATTTTGATGTTGGAAGTAATGTTGAGTTAGGTGGAAATGGTTGATTTTGATATTTGGGGTTGATTTTGAAAAGAGTAAGAATTTTACCCTAAATGCCTCAAATGTTGGTTTTATATAAATAATGGAATTGATGTTGAAATTATGAAATTGGATTAGTATTGACGAGAATGGTAGAGTTGGATATATATTATCACTCATCTCTTGAAATTTGGAAAGCATATCTTTATGAAATGTAAGTTATTTGTTTAGAAATATCTATTTTGGGCTATCGGTGGAGGGTAGCTATGAGTGTTGTAGAAATTGCATGTGAATTAGGAGGATTGAAACTATTTTCTCATTCATTTGCATTGAGCATTATCTCACATTTATACATTAAAATGTTTATCGTGTTGAGAAAAATGGTGAAATTGGGAAACATGATTTGTATTGTTGAATTAAGTTGGCTTAAGTGTTCAGGGTGAAAGTCCTGAAAACTACGCGTATACATGGGTGCCGATCCTACGGACAAAATTTTCATGAAATGGCAATAGTAGTGCTTTTATAGCCTACGTTTACATAGGTCCCGGCTTACGGTTTCCTCGGGACGAAATTTCCGAGAAAGGTTGTATTTTTTATAAAAATTTTCAAAGTGTGATTTACTGCCCTATTTTCTATTGAAATGGAAATGATTTATGAATCATGATATTCACTTGGCATTGTATGGTTTTTGAAAAGGGATATAAAAATGTTTTTGGCACAAATTTCGCATATGCATTGACCTTATAGCTTTGTTAAGAATCATATACTGTATTGGATTATTTATATTAGGCTTTGGCTCACCCTATGTGGGAAAAATATTTCAGGTGCTAATGATATATCTCCGCCAAGGTAATAGCTTGGGAGGACATAAAGTAAGGGCTTCATTTTTGTTATATACATTTTTGTATAAGCCAAGGGTTTTATGTGTATTGGACTTAAACTCCACTTTTGTTGTAACCAAGCATTATCTTGGAAAGTTGTAAGCCTTTAGGGCATTTATTATTTGTTTTATTTTCAAGCCCTTATCTCATGCTGTGATATATGCTATAGATTTAGGGATAGGCTTATGAATGTGTAATTGTATATATATGTCATACTTTTGTAAACTCAATTGGATTTAATGGGAGATAATTACCTTATTATTGTTGTCATTTATTGATATTATGGATAGATTATTGTAATTATTGTTGGGGTGTTACAATTTTCTCTCGTTTGGTTTCTAAGAAAATGAATGGAAAATAAACCTCAAGTCTTCTCTATTTCAGTCTTCTGTTCCTTGTTGTTTTTCTTCTCAGATATTGAAAAACCTGAGTGAGTCCGACCATGCTTAGTGGTTGTGCTAAGACTGATTTGAGGGTTCTAGTACTTGTTCATTTGAAAAAATTCTGATGTGATTTTTTCACAACACTGCCATGTATCATGCATGTGATTCCTGTAGATATTGTATTTGGGTAAGAAAATTAAATTAATAGATAGATAAAACACAAGTTTGATATATACTCCAGTTCTTGTAATTTGTTTCTCTGTGTCAATTTAATCTCTTATGTTCTAATACATCAATTTTCCCTTTGATTTTTCTTAAAATTGTATCAATTTTTAGTATAATTGATAAGTCTTATTTAGAAACAAGACTCATACTGCAATTAAGGGGTAAACTTTTCTCTAAGTTTGGTGTTCAAGGTTACATGTTATCTTATTTTTTTCCCTTCATTTTTGCATCTTGAGTTTGTTAAATATGAGACGTTGTATATAATCTTGTTGTTATGATTGATAAATAAACTATATGTAAGTGGGTATAATTGAACTTTGATTATAAGTCCACTGTCAGTACAAGAAAAGTAAGATTTAACGACGTTTAAAAAAATGCCTCTGTTTCTAATATATAACGGCATTTTCTTAAATGCCGCATTCTTGTTAACTAACACGTTACGGTTTTAATTTCAAAAGTCATTTAAAAAATGCCTTCAAATGTTTATATTTTTTATTTTTATGAAAACTTAAATAGCCTATTCTCTCTCACTCTCTCTAAACCCTTGATTTCACTCTCTCTCGCTTCAAACCCCTTCGTTTCTCTTGCTTCAAACCCTTTCATTTATTAATCGATTAATCTACAACCCTTCTCTTCAAGTATTTGATTCAAGTATTCGTAGATCGTTGATTCACATATCATAATGTGCCATCTCGAGTTCGTGTTCGAGTTCGCAGGTCTTTCTTCATGGTAAGTGTAGATCAATCTCATCTCTATCTTATCCAGTACGACGGGGTCAGGAGAAAAAACAAATATATATGGTGGGAGTTGGGTATCATTGTTACACCAACATTTTTATCATTCCTGTTAAAATTTCAGTATAAAAATCCACATGATTAAATTCAAAAAACTTTGGGGTGAGTTTTTCTGCTAAGAATACGTTTGGATTTTGGATTTTTTTTATTGTTACTTATTTGGAGATTAATTTCCTCTACAGCTGCTGTTGAATGATTTCACATGACAATCCTAATGAAGCATTTCTTTTCCAGATTCTCGCGCTCAGATGTTTTCATTTTTCGAATATGTTCAATTAGCAAAATCTAAATCCTCAACAGAAATTTAATCTCTCCATTCAGCACTTTCTTCTGGTGTGGGGTGACACTGCTGCATACATCATGTTTACTTTTGTGCCATTTCTTTGGCAATCTGTAGAAACTTTTTTTCTTTTTTCATTAAAAAGTAAAAACAAGAGGAAAAATTCGAATGCTAATCCTACTGGATCTTGTTAAAACAAATTAATTTATACTTGTTTTGAGAGATGTAATGTGGCTTTCGGTCCTCAAAACTCCAACTGGATGTTAATCATATAGGTTAATTTTTGTATGGAGGAATTCTTTGGTGAAAATGGTGTTCTTCGTCACATCAAGCATACCTGGGATGCGTGTACTAAATTTTCTGTTCTGAATGTTCGTAATGAGTTTGTTATTTCTTAAATTTTGTAGGCTACGGCAGACTGAAAACAAGATTGATTGTCCAGGGTTGGATGAAGTGGAAAATCTGATGCTGAAGCAAGTCACTTCATTGTAAGTTCATTTGATACATTCAAAATATAAATTTTCCAAGGAGTCACAACTGCTTCTGTACAAATGTAAAATATTGTATCTGAATGCAGCAGCAAATAAGTTAACAGCGCATGCCTTAATGTGTAATAAATCAGATTGACCTGAGTACCACAAAGGCTAGCCCAACCAGAACCAACAAAAGGTCTTTCAAAGCTTGCTCAAAAGCATTAGTTTTTTAAGAGTCGTCTAAGGAAGAGAGCTGTAGAAGAAGGGGTTCAAGTTCTCCTGCACGATCATGGTTGCAGCGAACTTATTTAATCCATCGTCGTGAACCTTTGGATTATGGTCGTGATGGAGAAATAAACGGTTGGAGTCACCCACTTGATTTCCTTCACAGCAATGCTGACAATGACACTAGTGCCACGAGATCGTAGGACCAAGGCAACATGAATAGCGCTGAAAAGTTTAATGTGGGTGGTTTTGATAATGCTTTGGAATGCTTGGAGCATAAACAGCTTGCTGAGAACCACACAATTTTCCCAAAAAAGTGATATTTGGCAGAAATGTCTTTTAAAGAAAAGGAGCCCAATTACGGACACATTTGAAAGCATGAGAGGCAGATTGTGTCATCTGCAATTGCAGTTTTTGAAATCATATCTTTTTGCTTGTCTTGTTGAATTTGTTATTTGATAGGATTGCAATATATGTGTAATACAATATTTTTTCCTTTTATTTTTTGGTTTATGTTTGTTGCTTGATTTTGGTTTAGAATAATCATGCAATGTTTACCTAAATCTAGTCAACATATCGAAATAGCAGCAAAACTTTATCCATATTATTGCTATTTTTCAGTTTCATTATAGGTATTTTTTTAGTTAAATCTAACAAAATTAGCACAATTTCAAAAAAAGGAAGAAGCTATAACGGCGTTTTCCCAAACGGCACTGTAGTGGCAACAGTCATATTTTTAAAATAGGAAAAAATCTATCACAGTATTTTTAAAATGTCACTAAATATTGGATGATATCATTTTATCGTTATTTATCACATTTAGCGGCGTTTTCAAAACGCCACATATACTAATCTAACAACGTTTTTAAAGTACCATAACATTACAGCGACGACTGTATCTCCAGCGTTTGGTGCTAAACGTTACAAAAAGAATTAGCGGCGTTTTTTACACTTATAACGACATTTTTTAAACGTCGCTAAATGTCAATTTCCAACAGTGCCTCCATCTCCCCTCTGGCCACCACGCACCACTGACAACCACTTGTAGCCATCTCCTCTGGCCGTCGTCGCCGGAGACTATCTTTGGCTGGTCTCCCTACTCTTGCCATCGACTAACTTTCATCTCCGACCACCCCTTTCACTGATTTTCAAAATAAGATTTTGAAATTATGTGTGCATCAAGATAGAGTAGAGCCATAGCTGACTCTTACCCTTTTAGGGTTCTAGTGAAGTGGATGGAAAAATATGAAATCCGAAGAAGATTTTGCATGATAATGTTTTTGTTTTTCAAGGCATTAGCCAAAGATAGGGGTGTAATTTTGGCCCGACCCAGCCCTGTTCGCCCATCCAGGCTCGAGCCGGGCCCATGTCGGACTTTGCGAGATCCCGTCAAAAATTGGGCTAGGTCAGAAAATTAGGCCCAAGCCCAGGCCCAGGCCCAAGGATATTCGGGTTTTAGATGGGCCAGTGGGCCGGGTCTCGAGCTTTGGGCTGGGCCTAAACAAATTTTTAATTTTTTTTAAAAATTTTTTTCACCAAAATTTTATTATTTTCCATTAAAAATAACACTAGGCCTCGGGCGGGCTAGCCTTGGGCTGGGCTGAGCTTCAAAACGATGGCTCAGGGCCAAGGCCTCGAGCTGGGCTTGGGCTCGGGCCAAGGCCTCGAGCTGGGCTTGGGCTCGGGCCTAAATGGGCCGAGCCCATCCCGGGCCACCCACGGGCCACGGGCCATTTTTACACTCCTAGCCAAAGATTATTTATACTTCTATCTGTGACACTTTTGTTTGAAAACACTCACAATCATTAAATTATTAAAAAATTCAAAATATAATAATACTATCAAAATATGGTTCAATAAATATGAATATTTAAAACAAGATAAATACTAATAAGTGTTACTAGCATATTATTTAATATTAAGATCAGAATTAAAATTGTTTTACAAATTGATAAATAAATAAAAAGGGTTCACTAATTTTGAAATCAATAAAAGGTGTTTTGAAGTAATAAATATTACTTATTAACAAAACGTTTAAAACAATGGTTTGACATCTCTTATATTCACATTTTAACATGAGAGCATGTGAAGTGCGTGTGACCATATCACGAGTCATGTTTTGATAATCTGAATCGTTCATTTTGTAAGGTTTCAATATATATCATGAAAACAATTAGTTCAATCGGTTAATCAAAATATTTTTATTTTATCACATTTGTTTTAAAAAAAATGGAGGCCAAATATATTTTTGAAAATAGTCCATCTATTTTTTTTAGAGACAAACACTATAAAATGAAAATATTACGATTATCGGATCGACTTAATTTTTTTCATAAATAATATACATTGGAAGTTATATAAAATGAACGGTTCAGATCATTGAAACAAAACCCGAAGTAGGTCTCACTGATCCCTCAAGTTCTCTTATATTAAGATATGAACATAAGAAAAATCTAATCCTAAAACAAAAACACAATTCAGATTCGATGCCTCCGTTGGCCCCAACAAACATAAAGAACCACAAATTAATTAGATTTTTGCAACTATGGTAACAGATGGGGCAATACCTCGTGACAATAATTTTCCGTATTGGATTCTTGTCTTCGTGGTATATTCATTTTCTAATGAATAACTCTACTAGCACGACAAAAAAATTTCATTACACACTTCATTTGTATATATTTTTTATTACAATTTTATTTTTTATGGAATTATTAATTGATTCCTAAATCTTAAAATTCAACACACAATTTCTCATCCCACCCACCACTCTTTGCCGTTGCTATGTCAACCTTCCACTTCCAACAACACCCCTATTGGGAGTGTAAAAATGGCCCGTGACCCGTGACGGGGTGAGCCCGGCCCGTTTAGACCTGGTTCCAAGCCCAGTTCGAGGCTTTGGGCCTGAGTCATCGTTTTGAAACCTGTGGCCTTGTCCATTGGCCCGCCCAAGGCCCATTCAAAAGCTTGGCCCGAGGTCCAGTGTTATTTTTAATGAAAAATAATAAATTTTTGGTGAAAAAAAAAAATTTTGTTTAGACCCACCCAAAGCCCGAGTCGAGACCTGGCCTACTGGCCCGCCCATAGCCCGAATACCCCTAGGCCTAGGCCTAGTTTTCTAGACCGTGGCCCGGCCAGGCCCGATTTTTGACGGGAGTCCGCAAGACCCGACATGAGTCAGGCCGGACCAAAATTACATCCCTACCCCCTACAAACCGCAACCCCCAACCCTCCTTTCCTTGCTGAATCAAAACCCCCACTACTTATTCCTTTTTTTTTTTTTTTTCTTCTCCTTCAAATTCTAGATTTGAATCTCTTCTCTCTCACTCTCAATCATCTGATCAGAATACCTAGCTATGAATTTGACTTTTTACCGTGACAAAATAAACTTTGATGAGCCCGTCTCACAGATGTGTGATTACAAGGCTCATTCTCCATATATTTGTTGCATATTATATATGTAAGTTACAATTTAATTTAATTTTTTTTATTGCTATTCATTGTTATGTTTAGTTATGTCCTAATGTCAATTAATTTTGAATTAAAAACTTTTAAAAATTTATCATATTTAAGATAGTTAAAGGTAGATTTTGGGCGAGTTTGTTGGACAAGTTTGTATTCTGGATTTATTATTTTGGTCTCTCACATTTTCATCTGCACATACAACCAAGACATATGTATGTAGAATGTTAAAATATTGTTTAAATTACTCAAACTTAATTAATATACTCTAAACAAAGATTAGTCAATTCAATATCATTTAGTTTTTGATTAAATGCCTAAAAAAAATTAATGCATTCAATAAATAACGTTCAAATACTACACTTAATGTGTGTTTGAGAAGAAAAAGATTAATACATCAAATCACTAAAAATAAAAATACACATGACATATACTTACACCTTTTGTACAACAGGATTTTCCTGTTTGACGATACATTATTGATAGATGAAACCATCTAATTTACCTCAAAATTTTAAAACAGCAAAAATCGGTGAAAATTTTGATTTTCTTATCACTAAATATAAAAATAATCACTTTATTTAGTTTGACAGTTTTAAAAATAGTAAAAATTTGTGAAATATTAGAAAAATATAAAAATTTAGTATATTGTTATCTTTTAGATTTGAGCCATTTGAGCCACAAAAATTTGAGCTACCAAACATTTTCCTACTTACACCTTTTGTACAACAGGATTTTCCTGTTTGACGATTCATTATTGATAGATGAAACCATCTAATTTACCTCAAAATTTTAAAACAGCAAAAATCCGTGAAAATTTTGATTTTCTTATCACTAAATATAAAAATAATCACTTTATTTAGTTTGACAGTTTTAAAAATAGTAAAAATTTGTGAAATATTAGAAAAATATAAAAATTTAGTATATTGTTATCTTTTATTTATTGAATTTAAAAAAAAATTAAAATATTTTACTTTTAAGTACATTTAGATTAAGTAAATTAAAAAAAATGTAACGATAATATTAAGAAAATTCGCTATAAAAAAAGGGATAAATTACCAATAGATCGTAATAGTTGGAGTTAATTTCCATTAAATTCTATTGAAAATAAATTCTAGTAAAATCCTCGTAAAAAATAATTTTTTGTGATAATTTTTTGCGTGTCACTAAAAATTAATAATTAGTCGCTTTTTTATCACGATTTTTATAAATTGTCGCTAAAACTTATAATCAGTGACATTTTTCTGTGATGAATTTTTTAAACTGTCACTGAAAGTTGAAAATTAGTGACTTTTTTTTAATTTGTCACTAAAACTTATAATTTGTGACATTTTTTATGATACAATTTTTAAACTGTCGTTGAAAATAATAATTAATGACTTTTTTAATAATATTTGATAAAAAATATCATTAATTATCATAGGACCTATTGGCCATAAACAAAAGGACAAATTACACCAATGGTCCCTATAGTTTGGGACTTGTGTCACTTTGGTTCATGACCTTTCAATTGTAACATATTTGACCATAAATTTTGAATTTTATTTCAAATAAAGACAATTAAAGATACTATTGTTCAATTTCAAGGGCAAAGCTATCAATTTGATAAAATATAAACTAATTTGACAGAAGTAAATGTCAAAAAGTATTTTCGAATTTTTAAAAATTATTTTTATCCACCAAAGATAAAATTATGTAAAATTAATAAATCTTTTACATATTTATTTATTTATTTATTTATACCAAATTAATTTATATTATGTATTTGGATAATGATCATGTAATTGGTAGTTATTTTTATTTTCATTAAATTAGTTTTTATTATTTCAAAAGTCAAATATGGCGATAACTCTGATATTATTATTAAACCAATCTATTAAATAAAAAAAAATTCAAAAATAAAAATATTTCATATATTAAATATATCGATTATACATTAGAAGCTTAACAACCATCCATTACAGGATCATAATCCAAACACAGAATAAAAATTAATTTGATAAAATAAATAAATAAATAAATGCTTAAAAGATTTATCAATTTTACATAATTTTATCATTGGTGTGTAAAAATAATTTTCAAAATTTAAAAATATTTTTTTTGACATTTATTTTTGTCAAGTTGGTTTATATGATATCAAATTAACGACTTTACTGTTGAAATTAAGCAATGGTCTTCAATTGTTCTTATTTGCAATAAAATTCAAAATTCAGAATCAAATGTGTCACAATTAAAAAGTCAAAAAATAAAATGGCACGAGTCTTAAACTACAGGATAATTAGTGTAATTCATCCCTAAAAATAATAGAATTGAAAAACTTAAAATGTGGAAAATTGGAAGGTCCCAGGTTTTAGTCCTCAGGTTTGATATGTCTCTGTTTTCTGGGTGAATTGTGTTGAGTTCGATTATCTCATCACACAATGATCTCATCCATCAACCACAACAAGAGGCAGGATCTCAATCAAAATTCAACAGTCAATCGAAGTTGTTTTGCGCCTCAAGATTCAAGCCTTACCCTTCCGTATGGAAGGCAGGTGACTTATCCACCTGACCACCACCCCGGTGGTATGTGGCGCGTGATTGGAGTAGTTCAATTCACTCCTCTGATGCCCCTCTCTGTCTCTCTCTCATAGATAAAATATATATGGATTTCAAGAACAATCTGAGAAGGATAGCAACATTTGAGCCACCACCAATAACAAAATCAGTTTCTTGAAGACAACCCATCTCACCAAATCCCAACTAAACAAACCTAACAAATCCAATTCATGTCTCTCTCTCTCTCTCTCTCTCTGTGTTATATGTTACTTTTTCTCTCTATATTTCCAAATCTCTCTCTCTCTCTCTCTCACCACTCTTCTCATGCAGGCACCTCGCCGGAAAACACCACTCTTCTCCTCCCAACCACTCTCAATGAAGAACTCCGGTGGCGGCGCTACTGGCCGCAAAACCACCAACCTCTCTGTATTCGTCGTGGTCTTCTCTATATTTCTATTCGGATGCTTCATGTACAACGAAGACATGAAATCCCTCGCCGAATTCCCATTCTCAAGGTCCAAATCTCAAGAAATTCAAGAAGAAGAACAACAACAATCTGATCAGAACAACCCAGTTCAAGAAATCATCAAGAACGATCAAGTGAACTCTGTTTCTATGAATTCAAGAACCCAAGAAAGCGAATTTCGAGTCGAGGAAGACGATGATGAAGAAGTTGAGTTGCCACCAGAGGATTGTGATCTCTTCAAAGGAGATTGGGTTTTAGATAATGTGACTCATCCAATATACAGAGAAGATGAATGTGAGTTCCTCACAGCTCAAGTCACTTGCTTGAGAAATGGAAGAAAAGACTCACTCTATCAGAATTGGAAGTGGCAACCCAGAGATTGTTCTCTGCCCAAGTACCAATTTTCTTTCTTGAATTCCCCTTTTTTTTTTCTCTTCTTTCTCTTGTCCAATATGCTGTTATTGGTTTGTGTTATTGATGATTGGGTGTGTTTGGTTGAAGGTTTAAAGCAAGATTGTTGCTGGAGAAATTGAGAGGAAAGAGACTAATGTTTGTTGGAGACTCGTTGAATCGGAACCAGTGGGAATCCATGGTATGTTTGGTTCAATCTGCTGTTCCACGAGGGAGGAAAAGCTTGTCCAAGAATGGCTCTCTCTCCGTTTTTAGAATCCAGGTCTCTCTCTCTCTCTCTCAAAAAGATTACAGCAATTGTGTTTTCTTAAATGCCACAGTAGAAAGTGGCTATGATGGTTGATTTGATTTAATTATTTTTCTTGACACAATGATTACTAACATGAACACATTATTCTCTCTTTAGATTTTTAGGTGTTGATCCTGACTTTCTTTTTTTTTAGAGGTTTTTTTTTTTTTTTTTTAAGTAAATTGAAAATACATCTCTTAAGTTTTAATTAAAATATAAATTCTTGTGATTTTAAAAATTACATTTCACTCCTTAAGATTTTTAATTTTGTAACAAATCTCTCATTTTATTAATAAATCATCAAGTTAATTAACAGTTTTTAATGATGTTAGAAATATGTTTCAACTAATAATGTAGATAATTTTATTATTATATAGGAGAGCAATTATGAATTTTATTTTTTTAGTTAATTTTGTTAAATAAAAAATTGTAATAAGATGATATTTGTAATTTTTTAAATCACAAAAGATAATTTATATTTTAAATAAACCTCAAGTAATATATTTGTAATTTATCTTTTTTTTGATAGCCATTTTTCAACGGGGACCTTTGCGTTTCTTTTTCTAAGCCAATTTCTTTGCCATGTCCTCAAGTTCAAACCAGAGCTAGTTTAAATGAAAAATTCTAATAAGATGATATTTATAATTTTTTAAATCGCAAAAAATAATTTATATTTTAAGCAAATCTCAAGTAATGTATTTATAATTTATCTTGTTTTTGATAGCCATTTTTCAACGGGGACCTTTGCGTTTCTTTTTCTAAGCCAATTTCTTTGCCATGTCCTCAAGTTCAAACCAGAGCTAGTTTAGAAAGAAAAAGTGAAAGAAAAAGCGAAATAAAAGGATTATTTTTGTTTTTATATTAATTTTATGATTAGGGTCATTCATTTTTTGTTGGCTTTAGATTATATATTTGAGTAGAAATTTAAAAATGGAAGAAAAAAAAAAGTAAAATATAAATGAATAAAATTATATTTTATTTATATTTTCTCTTTTTATTTTTAAATTCTTATCAAAATTCATAATCAAAACACATACTTAATATTGATGATTAATTTACTTGGCGGGAATCACATTGGCTTCACATAAATAATTAAACGGAATGGTTAGTTAATTAAAGAGAAGCTAATCTTTTTAACAGTATTTAGTTCGTATTTATGTCAAGTTTGGCAACACCAAAATAATCCATCTTTTTATTTTTTTATCTTTTTTTCATCACATCACTTCTCTATTTTTCTGCACATCTTTTCATAAAAAGACAAAAAGTACACTTATTTAGGTTATCCCATTGAAATAAATGCTAATAGATTATTTTGTTTAAATATTAATTCTTATGTTGGGTTCAATGAAATAGAAGGAAAGGTACATTATCATTTACTAATTGATCATCAAGGCAAATGGCCACTCTATCATTTACATTATCACTTTTTTTCTTGGATACCTCATTTGTTAAATTGTAATTTAACATTTATTTTTCACCTAATTGAGGTTTGGTACTGCTTAGTGGGGTGCATACTCCAAGTTTGGTACTGCTTACTGATACAATAAGGTTGAAATGTGCATACTACCTAATTTGATGACAAACTTGGATTTAGCCATTCAATTATGTATTTTTCACCTAATAGTTGGAAAATGATATTATCTTATTAAACTGTACATGTCATACACTCACTGGCAACATTAGTTGATTAGGTGGACAACTCTTTGATTTAAAAATTACTCATAAACTAATCATTATTAATTTTCTAATGTAAAAATTTTGCAGGATTATAATGCTACAGTTGAGTTTTACTGGGCCCCATTTATAGTGGAATCAAACTCAGATGATCCAGATATGCACAGCATATTGAATAGGATCATTATGCCTGAATCAATCAATAAACATGGTGAAAATTGGAAGGGTGTGGATTTTCTCATATTTAACACATACATATGGTGGATGAACACAGGTGCCATGAAAATTCTGTAAGTTCCAAATCAATTCCTTGCAATGCCTATCTATTTAAAATGTTTATTTCAAAAAAACTCGTTTCGTAAATTTTTTTACAAATTGAAATTGATAATCAAAAAATAGAAGGTAAATGGATAATTTTGTACAGTTATACAAGTTGCTTATAGCATTTTTTTATTTTATTTCAAGAATATGTATGAGACTATTTGATGCATCTTTTGAAAGAATAATACTTTTTAGTCGTCATTTGGAAATAGACTTTTTTTAGTTGATTTTTTGACTATTTTAGTTTGAGACTAAGGCCTCGTTTGGCAAGAGGCTATTTTAGCCAATTAGCCAAAAAGTTACTAAATTAGCCAAAAAGCTAACAACCCATACCAAAAAGTCAAAGATTCTCTTTTCTCTCTACTTTTTGCACTTCTTTTCGTAATTAGCCAAAAAGTCATCCCAAACATACAAGTTTTTTTTACCTACCTTTTTAGCCAAATAGCCAAAAAGTTACTAAATTAGCCTGTTCCCAAACGAGGCCTAAACGTTTGTTTGGTTGGATTTTTTTGGCTTTTTGTGCCTTTTGTAAAAGAGAAAGTGAAATGATTATTGTTTGGATGTGACATTTTATCTTATTGATTTATTTAATTTTTTTTTTTTTTTTTGGGGGTACTTTTTTATCTAAAAAGTTAATTGCTAAACAAGCTTGCACCAAACCAATCCAAAATCACCTCTCTTTCAGGTTCTCAATAATTAATGAATTTAAATTATTTTTACTTCAAACTATAATTAAATATTGCACAAAAACTATATATACAAATAAACAATTCTTGTAGTAAGCTAATAATGTGGGTTTTTTTTTATAAAAAAAAATCATTTTGGGGGCTGATCGAAACAGACGAGGATCGTTCGATGAAGGGGCCACCGAGTATGATGAGATCCTACGGCCTGCAGCCTATGCAAGAGTGTTGAACACATGGTCTAACTGGGTTGATGAAAATGTGGATCCCAATCGTACCACAGTCTTCTTCAGCAGCATGTCTCCTCTTCATATCAAGTAATGTTCAATTTTATTTTTATTTTTTAAAATTTTTATGGGCATTGTTTGTTAATAAATTTGTTTTAGCCAAAATCAATGCATTTCATTCTGTTATAATAATTATTATTAATTAATTAATGAGTAGTCACCTTCTAGGGTTATGATAAATTGGATTCATCGTCAAAAATTTATTAATTGTATCAACTCACTCTTTTGTTCTTTTATAGATGCGTCTAGAAATTTCGCTTCTTTGATAATGTTTTTAATTTTCTGTTTTTTATTTTAATTTTATAAGATATAGTTTAACTTTTAGGAAAAGTCAAAAAGTTATTTTTATTTTTTTAAAGGTATTTTGTACCAAAAAAAAAAAATAATGTTCTCAATTTTATTATTGTTTTTTTTTTTAAACACAAAAAATCAAAAACTAAAAATGAGAACAATACTAAACAAAGATTTTTATGGAATACGCGTGGTAAAAGTTTTCTTAGGATTGAATAATTTTCTGGATTAAATATAAAATTCAGAAGCTTGTGATAGTATGACTGAAAATTTGAATCATGAGCTAATCATTAATTAATAGTGGGACCATTAATCTTGGTTGGTAAACCACTATATGATTTCTCTTTTTTTTATGATTATAATTTTGAAGAAATATTTCATATTTTTCATTAATAGTGAACCTTCTAATGGTGAATTGTTAAATACTGATTAAGTGAATTCAAAATTGGTAATGTAATAGGAGCTTGGACTGGGGCAACCCAGATGGGATCAAATGTGCTTTAGAGACTATGCCAATTCAAAACATGTCGAAGAAGCCGAATGTGGGCACCGACCGCCGGCTCTTTGTGATTGCAGTGAACGTGACGCGGTCGATGAAAGTACCGGTACATTTCCTCAACATAACAAGGCTCTCGGAGTACCGAAAAGATGCACATACCTCAATTTACACCATTCGTCAAGGAAAGATACTCACCGATGAGCAAAAGGCCGACCCAGCCATATATGCAGATTGCATCCATTGGTGTCTCCCAGGCTTACCCGACACATGGAATGAGTTCATCTACACACGTATCATTTCTCACTCTTGACACGTGTCACTTGGCTCTTTTTCTTTTTTTTTTGTTCTCCATTTATCCCACAAATTGTATTTTAACTTTTGTGGTTTGGTGTCTATTTCTGTACCATTCTAGTTTTTTTAGTCTGTTTATAGGGCTGGTCTGTTCATTTTTTGGTTCTTCATTGTGAGCCCATTTGGATGTAGTGGCAATTGAGTAAGGGAAGGTAATCAATCAATTGGGCTCAGAAGGGGGGGGGGGGGGGGGGGGGGGGTGTTGTTTAATAAAAGTGCGCATACGAAATTGTAAGTACGCCAGCATCTTTCTTATTATAATTTCCAAGTTATTTATTTATTTATTTTTCCTTTGACATAATGGTATACAAATAAATTTTGTATGCATAAATTTTATTTAGAACACATGGCAGTGGTATTATGAATCGAAGTCACAAGTAAATGTTTTAGTTTGAAATGAAATAACAATAAGATGTAGGAATTTATTAGGATGGATGTTTAGCAACGGAATTTTGTTTTGTTACAAAAATAATAGTAATAATAATTAAAAAATAAGTTGTATTTTTATACCTAAATTATTTCTTTTTAGAGATGAAATTTATTTTATCCTTAAATTTTTGTCCCTAAAATACTAGGGATGGTTGCCATAAGACAATTAAGTTCCATCAAATATATGTACATATAATATATGATAGACATCGAAATACATATATGGCAAATTTTTAAATGAAATTGGTGAAGCTAGTATAAAATTGGTCAACTAAATATAAAAATTACAATTTAAATTTTTTATTGGAAAATACAATTAAAGTTTTGTGCAAAAAATGTGTTATTAGTTCAGATTCATTTATACATTAAAAAAATAAGAATAATTTTTTACTTGAAATTTTTCATTTGATGAATTATTATTGGTTCATTTATTGAGAAAATATAATAATTTTTTTGTTTTTGTTTTTAGACTTGTAACCCTGATAGGAACAAAAACATGCGACTTGCAATATTCCAATAAAATTGGAGTCAAATTTGATGTGGTCATTTGTGCAGTTGTATGAAAACTACCATTCATAGTTAACTCATGGGTGGTTGGGTGGCAAATATTTGAAAATAAAATTTAAGATTTTGAATTCTAATCATCCAAAAAAAATTATTGAAGATTTATTCAATCATTAATTTCAAGGTCATGAAATTAATCGTTATGCACGCAAATTGATCTAGATATCCCGCTATCAAAAACATTGTGCCTCACAATCAATTCCATCAATTTTTTTAATATCTTGATGGCAATAAGAAAATGATCTCACTTTTGCAATAAGAAAAAAGACAAGATATATTACCCTAAAATCACATCACTTTTTCAGGATAGATTATCCATTTACTCTTATATTGGAAATAGAAAACTTACCAAAGCAAAAGAACGAAAATTGCAATTAATTCTCCAAAACTAGGAAAAATTTTGATGATATAGCGTGTTTCAGATGGAACGGGTCGGATTGATCCATGCTACCCAAACCGGTGTCTGAGGTACCAAGCTCGCAGGGAGACCTGCACAAGAGTTCAACGGGGAACGGGGAGTCCCCCAGCGAACTCTCCGACGAGCAAGTTAGAAAAAGAGATGGAATGCAGAGATAGATTAGTGATAGAAAAGGTTAACATTCTTCTTGTCTTCGATGCCTGCTTATATCCTCTGATAATCATTTCGTTGTCCCTTCCGACCTATCATCTTGGCTGAAAGTCTATGCTCCAACTTGCCTTGTTCATGGTGAGAACGTTCTGTCTCGACGGGGAGGGGTTATCGCAATAAATGTTGTAAGGGACTTCATTAATGGCTGATGTGCATGGCAATAACTTTGCAGGATCTTTGTTTGCTTATGTGGCTTGTCTTTCTCTTGCCACGTGTTTAGATGTCATTGATTCTTAATGCCATGTTGAGCTCCAGCAACGTTAGGCTTTGGTATTTGAATTACGTATTGGACCCTAAGTGGTGGGCTATATCCTTTATGGGCTTACCCGTGTCAGTAGTCCCTCATTTCCAAGTGCAGATTTAGTCCAACGAAGGGAATAAAGAAGAAAACAACAGTTGTGAGAGATCGACGGGGCGAAGACCGACCGTGAGGAGGGTCGACCGCGAAGGGTGACCGAGGGAAGAGACCGACCGTGAGGAGGGCCGACCACGAAGGGTGACCGAGGGGAGGGACCGACCACGAGGGGGCCGACCGTGAAGGGTGATCGAGGGGAAGGACCGACCGTAAAGAGGGCTGACCGCGAAGGATGAGTGGCGGTGCGCGGGGCTTGAGAGGCGGCGGGCACGTGGTGAAGTGAAGTGAAATAGACAGGGAAGGGGAAAGGGGTAGTGGATCGTGGTCGTACACGTGGCGGAATCCCGTAATGGGGAAGATTAGGCGTTGAGCAAGAAATGAAACGATAGGTCAATGTAGGGTGTTTGAAAATGAGGTTTTGAAAAAATTTTGAAAATTTTCTAACTGGAAAAATTTGATCTTAACCCTTGGAATACAGGCAAACCTTGGGCTTTTGGTGTTATCTGTTTTACTTATCTTTTTGCAAAAAACCAAAACGTTCCAGAAGAAAACTCTTTTGTGTCGAGTGATACACATTTGCAACATTTTGCGAACTATCTTGTACCAGCGTCTGAAGCTATACACAGGCATACCACAGAGATGGCTCGAGAGGATGTGCCCACCATGAGACTAGATACGTTGGGGGACGACGACGCGGTAAACCTGGCGGAGCAATACAGGACGGAGAGGCGAGTAGGAAGTGAAGGGGAACCAACGGGGCAACCCCGTTCGTCCACATTGATAGCAGCTGTGAAGCCAATCAGTTAAGTAGAGCCAGACCACTGGTATACGAAGGCCGACAAATCAAACTTTACAGCGGAGGAGTTGGAGGAGATGCGCAGGAAGTATCAAATTCTCGCGGAGATAGAGCTGAAATTGCCGACGTCGAAGGAGAGGACATCCGACGCCCGACCGGGGGAGTTTGCCCTCTACGAAGAGGCCCTAAAGGGGGGGTTGAGGTTGCCACTTCCCCGGATAGTAGTGGACGTGTTGAATCGGCTGGAGGTGGCTCCGGGCCAACTGATGCCCAATGCGTGAAAGATTTTGCTGGCTTGTGCAAGCGCGTGGCCGCAGGCAAACGAGGGGGCTGCAATGACGGTGGATGAGTTTTTTGCGTGCTACAAGGCTTCGGGCCAGCAAGAGACTTGGGTCACCCTACAAGTAGTGGCAGGGAAGGGTCTAGTGGCGGGGTTGTCATCGTCAGTGAAGGGGTAGAGGTCGCAATGGTTCTACGTGTTTGCCAACGGAGGAGTAGGAGTGCGCACGGTGTGGAAGGTGCCAACCAAGTCGATTGAGCCAAGGTTGGAGGCGAAGGCAGAGGAGAGGGTGAAAAATGTGAAGGCATGGAGGGAGAAGGAGGGGGCCAAGTGGGACGACCTCGTGCAACCCTTAGCCTTGTTTGCCTCAAGGCTGGGCCCTCAGTCGACCGATGGAGATCTTGCGCCGGCAGAACTGGAGGTGAGGAGGAAGAGGCAAGAGGCGGAGGACAGAACCACCTTCGCCAAGGCCGATCAGTACAAAGAGGCGAAGATAGGCCGCCCGCCCAAAATGATCGTGAGGGAACGAGTCCAACCGCGTCCCAAGCCTCTGGGGGAGAAGGACTTGAGCAGTTTTGAGCCACGACCACCTCCAGTGGAACCTCTGAAGGAAAAGAGCAAAAAGGAGGTGGAGGCTGTGCTGAAGAAGAAGAAGAGAGTAAGGAAGAGAGAGGAGGGGCTAGCCTTGAAGACGATGAAAGAGGGGATGGCAGAGGGGACTCCCGAAGTGAGGATGGAGAGTGGGGTGACTGGCCCTGAAACACAAGTGGAAGGTGGGGCGATTGGCCCTGAGGAGGGGGTAGAGCAACAGCCCAATGAGGGGGCCTACGCCCCAAGAAGAAGGAGAGTAGGCCAGGTTGAAGACCGCCATTTACCACACTTCAGTAGTGTCCGGGGGACTGGAAGAAGAAGGAGGTGAAGCCAAGACTGCTGTAAATCGGCTGCTGGGAGTAGTGGAGGATGCGGCTGTGTGTTTGATGGCAAGTTTCACTGAGGCCGAACTACTAAGGGGGCTGTGCTCTGCCCAGATGGAGGTGACGACCTTAGTAGGAGCTTTACTGAACAAAGCGGAGCGCGCAAAAGGCAAAGTTCAGCCACTGAAGGCAAAGTTGGAGGAGGTGAAGCCCAACTTGAAAGTTTAAGGAGGGAAATCACGGGCTGGAGAAAAGCCGCTCGGAGTGCGTGCGCAGGGGGCTGGAGTATGTCCAAAATGCCAAGAATATGGAGGTATTGGCGATGGTGCAAGGCTATTCAGCCAACCGTGCTAATGCTGAGCTGTTCGCGAACAAGTTAGAGCTGGAGACGGAACGCCGCAAGGTGGTGTCGCTCAAGTTCCAGTTGGCAGGCGAGCAGAAGAAGCTGAAAGAGACCTAGAAAGCCTGCATCGTCGCCAACGAAAGGTGGGATGAGGCCATGGTCTGCAATGAAGATCTTCATGCTCAGTCGATCAAAGAAAAGGAAGAAGCAGATCTGAAGATTGCTGAGTTGGAGAGGGTGTTGGCGGACGAGCGGGCCAGGTCTTTAGTTAAGAAGGCAGGGTTGGAGAAGACCTTGGAAAAGGAGAGAGCCAAGTTGGCATCTGAGAGGGCGGCGTATCCCGACCTATGTGTTGTAGTAGTAGAGCAGTTCAAGGGGTTTGCCAACTTCCAAATGGCCATTGATGCCACTATTGCCAGCAGGTTGGCGAGAGAGGGGGATAGGGGGGCTGGCCCGTCGGGGCTGACCGCTGGAAGTAGGAGTGAAGAGGAAGTGATCCAGAGCTTCCAACGGTCGGACTTCTACAAGCATGAGATGGCTGAGTTCTAGGACAGCAGCTGGAAGACTTTCAAACATAAAGCAGAAGAGCTGTTCCCAGACTTGGACTTCAGCAATGTAAGAATAGATGAAGACGATGTGGCCCAGACCCCCCTAGATGAGGGGGTTGACGAAGAAGACCTGGTCTCGAGCGAGGATGAATGATTGGTGTAAAAGAAAAAAAATTTGCGTTTGGCATGTTGTTGCTTGTAAATGAAATTTTTGTTGTTGTTGTTGTTGTTGTTGTTTTTGTTTTTGTTTTTTTTTTTTTGGTTGTGTAATTTCTGTAGTGATTTTATGTGTAAGTTTGTAAATAAAATAATGACTTC